CAGAGCACAAGGCGTTCCTGTGACTCACGAACGTGAAAACAACACTGCAGCTCACGTTCAAGGCACCTGCTCCGCCACACACAGGGCGCTCTTCCAGGTGCAACTCGAATTCACTCAGTGACCCCTCTCGTACCTGCACGGGGAAGGTGTTCATGGTACCCTCACTTCACAGGCTCAGAGGCTGCGGGTGTCCCAAGACCACCCAGGGGGAGTCGAGCTCCAGGAACACGGTTCACCACGGCCTCGGCTTGAGAGCTTCGTCTCCCCCCTCCCTCTCCGCAGCCCCGTCTCAATCAGAGCTGAGGCCAGGACATTTCTGGGGGCAAAGGAGGGGGCGGTCTTGTTTGGCAGGGCCTGTTTCACCCCGGTGAGGTCTGGCCTGTCCCACCTCCGGGGTCTTTGAATTGAGGGTCTCACACGGCAGCCTCTCTCTGGCCAGGTGTGACTTGAGAACAAATTGAGTCCCAGGCTTTCCCTGTGAGTCATGGGTGGGCAGTTCCTGGGGCCTGGAGTTCGGTGCCCCGGCCCTGGAGCCACGAGGCACCGGCGTGGGGCTCCGGGCAGGTGCTCTGCACCCCTCCGGGTCAGTCTTCTCCCCTCCCAGCAGCACCAGGACTCGGTTATTACACCGCTGTCTGTTTACATGGATCAGACATGCACCGAGCACCTGCCACGTGGGGGACACTCTGCTCAACTGCAGGGACAAAGGGACCAGCTGTCTTCTAGCGCAGTCACCCTGCAGGTCAGCTGACCATCCTGGACATCACTCCACTGTCCCCTCCCCTGGACAACCTCTCCCTGTTTCCACAGAATCACACTCCCACGTGATGAAAGCCATTAAAGCCACTTATAAGCAGTTTATTTTGTGACTTATCAGATAATACTTATTCACACACAACACAGGCACCTAAAAGACCCCTCAGCGCGGCAGTGACCATTCAGTACTGACCCCGGCTTGATGCTGGGGGTGGACGAGTGACATGGAGGCCTCAGGACGCTCGTGGAGAAGCCGCACGTCCCGTGAGCCTTGTCAGGGAGGAGCGTGGGCAGAGCTGTGCGGGGCACTGGGGGCCTCGCCCTCTGCCCCCTGCTGAGGCCCGAACTCTTGAGACTCAGGCTCCAACAGCCAGTGGAAAGGCCCAGCGCCCGAAGGCCCACCTCTGGCCCCTTGAGGGACAAAGGAGCTTTTTATTTTAGCACCCTTTTCTCAGCACTTTCTCATCTTGGCTCCAAGCAGAATTCACAGCAGTAACTTTTCTAAAGTCAATAACATGGCTTCTTAAAAGTGTGACTTGTTGTGGAAGTGCCCCTAACCCGGCTGCTCAGTGTTTGTCCAAGAATTCAGAGGCCTGTCGCCTCTCCCTGGTGGCTTCCTGAGCATCTTTCTACTCAACAAGCAGCCAGTGCAAAGGCTGACCGTGAGATGAACACTTTCCCTCTACCCGGGAAGGAGACCTCTAAGGGCAGGGGAAGTAGATGGTTTCTTCAAAGGCCATGACTGAAGTCCTCAAACAGCTCAAAGCATCAAAACAGTTCTGTTCTCCAGTTCCCTCCCCAAACCCAGATTCTCGAAAACCAAAGCCTGTATAACGCACGTGCTTGATCACGTGGTTTAGGAAGGGCTCCCTTCATTGGAATCCTAACTTCCAAGAGCCTGCAGCTTCACAAGGATCCAGAACACCCCACCTTAGCAGATAATACTCTCCAGGTCTCCACCCCAGCTACCGAGCGGCGGTCCCCCATGTGCACCCTCCCCCGGAGGAAAGGGCCTTCCCAATCCTGCGGGCTGTGAGTGGGGGCTGCCCTCCTGGCTCACAGCGAGAAGCGTGGACACTGCCGACGGGCCAGGGAGTGGGACGGACAGAGGGTGTGCCAATCAGAGGCCTTCCCGAGTGCTTGCTGCGGACCCTCCACCCCCAACGGGGCGGCGCTGGCAGCGGAACAGCAGGGCACCGTGGGAACCACATTCCCGTGTGGACACAGACCTCCTGGGGCGGAAGCCAACAGGCGGGTGCACCCGCAGGTGGCCTGAGCCCCGGGGCCCCTGCTCGCCTGCCTTCCACAGCTTTCCGACAAATTATTCTTCTTTCACTTCCAAGGACCCCAGGGCAGCACGCTTCCTCCCCGCCTCTTGTCCGGCCTCCCTCGCCTCCAGCCCATCTTCTCCGGCGGCCGCAGGCTCTCCCGGCGGCCGCAGGCTCTCCGGCCAGGTCGTGCTTTGCCGTCCTCGTGTTCTGCAACCGGCTGGCAGCCGGGCCTGTGGGGGATGGTGGCACAGCCTCCCTCTGCCACAGGCTTTCCAGACCGGCACGCAGATCACTCTCTGTGACCCTGGCAGTTAGGAACAGAAAGTGAAAAAAACGTGTTTTTGTCACTGTGAGTGAAAACATACTTCGGACAATGGCTAGAGTTTCTTCGTCAAAGGTATGAGCATCTCCTGAGGTAGCCACCGCTCCCCAAGGGTGCCGGCCAAGCCACAGCGAGAGGAGGAAGAAAAAAAGTGACTCTGAACCTCGGCCTCACGGTACTGAGGAAGCTGCAAGGGTTCTGTGAAAGCAAAGGAGGCCTAGAGCCTAGCGCGTAAGCAGAGGCCTAAGTGTGCAAAAGACCCGTGCGCGCACACACACACACACACAGCTGACATTCACTGAGCACCAGACTGGTCTGAAACTCTAAGGCCAACTCGGAGCCCGCTGGGGTCTTACAGCCGCGGCCTGACAGGGAGAGGCCAGCTCGCCACCCGGGCCCGCGGCAGCCCCTCCTCTGCCTGGGC